AAATCTCAAATTTCATTTGTATAATCTCTAAAGCCTCCTATATACATTTCAAATGTTTTTTTCCAGTAAAACTTTATATCTGTTATTTTCTCTACCCTAACTCTATACAAGGTTGATCAATTTCATCGACCTCATAACCACAAAAAAAAAAAAATTTAAATAAATCTAAACTACCCTTTGGAGGGGTGGTAGTAAATAAATTAAAGATTAGATCCCTAGACAAAAAGTGTCACATTTCTCACACTAGGGGAAATTCAGGATTTAAAAAAATTCCTTTATAAGATTAAGAAAACTCATATACCATTAAAATACATATTATTAGCTACAATTTTAAGCTATACTAATTGGTATAACATGAACAAAAAGTAATTTAATTAAATTTTGAATATAACTCATTAAAAACCTCGTGACATGTGCGGTAAAAGATGTCTGTGGCAAGAGGGTTAATTAAATAGTACTTCACCAAGTAGCTGTAATCCGAGAGAGGACATATTTAAATTAACATAGAAAAAAAAAATTTAATCAATTTAATCCACAAAAATAAATGTGAATATAATTTATTAAGTAGTACTTCACCAAGTGGCTGTAATCCGAGTGAAAATATATAAATTAATGCAGACTAAAAAACAATATTAAACAACTAATACAGAAATAAAGGTGGATACAATTAATGAATCAAATGTTTTACAAATTAAAGAAGTTTTAAACTAGATGTTTATTAACAAGTAGATTTTAAGTTACACTGAAAATTTTATTTAACTACTTTCTTTTCATGGAATATCAACAAATATAGCATAAAAACGTAGCTAATAATCGATATTTTAATAGTATATAAGTTTTAATTCTTACTTTTGTGACGAAATATTAAAAACAAATCTAGAATTTCCCCCTAGTACGAAATATAACATAAATTACTTATTATAATATCGTTATCACTCAGGCAAAGTATACTTTTCATAGCCTTCAATCTTATTTAGTTACAGAGCCATGAAATAGACAACCAAACCCCTCTTGCCACACCCACCTATCACATCCTCTCTTTCAGAAATTGACAATAGTTCTCTCTGCTGTTCAATACTACATTATTTATAACCAATAGAAAGTCAAGGTTTTCATCTATCAAAAGATGTAGTCTGTAAAGGGAATTGTCAATTTCGCTTTCAGTTCAGGCTTGATTCCCACGGAAAACATGTCGACAAGGTTAGATGAAGTTTTAAAGGCTCTTGTCACACAGATTTTATTTGTTTGTTTGTTTGCAATTAAGCACAAAGCTACACAATGGGCTATCTGTGCTCTGCCCACCACGGGTATCGAAACCCGGATTCTAGCGTTGTAAGTCCGCAGACATACCGCTGTGCCACTGGTGAGCTGTCACACTGAAAGCCAGGTACATTGCCTGCCTTTTGCACATTATTATTCTGTGTTGTTTATTGCATTATTTAATTAAATAAAAAATTAGTTAGTGCAGTACTACCATTAGTATAAAAAAAGTAGGGTTAAATGTCATGAAAACCCAGGTAAGTACTTTTTTATTGTTTTTCATGTGTATTCTTTATTTATTATTATTATAAAAGTAATTAAGATGTAAAAATAGGAAACTTTTTATGTTAGTTAAGGTTAGATTAGGTGAAATAAATAATAATATAATAAAATATTTTCGCAAGGTATGCTCGCGAGTAGCTCATTCATAATGTAATTCGATAGCGTAACATGAGCTACATGTTCCCCCAAGTGATTTACAACTTATAATGGTGTTTACAGTAATTAGTCAGGGTTCAAAGAGTAATAAAACAATAAAATTTAAGTATATATAGGTGTATACTGTTATGAGCACAAAGCTATTTAGGATAAACAAATATATGTTTCATATTACAATTTGAAGTCATTCTCGATAGAAAACAAGGGTAATTTATATTTATTTTTTATTTTTTTTGGGTGGTTACAATGTCAGTCAAACTGACCAATCTTGTATACAGTTTTACTGAAAAACAAAAGTTTGAAATTCATTAGGAGGTTTTAGAGATTACATAAACAAAATATGAGATTTTTGAGATGAAGATAATTATTTTCAATCCTTCTGTGAAAATCATTTAGCATTTGGAGTAGTATATATATTAACGGACAAATATTTTGTAAAATGCTTCATTCAAAACTAATATTTTGTGTACAAAAGACTTAAAATGGTTACTAAAAGTCTTCCAAATTTTGTGAAGATACATAAAGTGTATTAAAAGTTACAATACGGAAGTTATAAAGAGCACAAAATTCAACCAACCTTGTAGCGAGAGAGTTAACTAAGTTGACACAAAGTGTAATTATATATAAATTTTATAGCAGTTATTTATATTTCAGAAAAACAACTTTACCTTTTTTAATTACTGAAGAGGAGATTCTCTCTCTTTTGGGACTCCCTGAAAAATTTTATTAATTTAATTTGAGAAACAAAAAAAAAGATTGACATAATAAAGTCTCTTACAAACTTCAGTAAATTTTTAGTTGAATCAAACTGTATTCAATATTTGAATTATTCTTATTAACAAAAATAAACTGATTTTCATCAAAAAGTACCAGCAAAAACTTCCTTGAAATCAAAATTAAACCATCAACCTAAAAAATCACCAGGTTTACTTTAAAGTAATATCCATGTTGATATAGATAAAATAAAACAATGAGTTCATAACAGAAGCTTTATAAATCTCAAATTATCTTCTCAAATTTCATCAACATTTCATTGTTCTTATAAGTTATTTAACATATTTTAACTTACACCTGGGTATCAAAAGTTGTCTTACAATATAAAATGCAATAAAATTATGATACAATTTACTGCAATCTAAAAAATTTTAATAGTGTTTCAACAGCTTTCTTTACGAAAAGAATAACAGCTCAGGCAAATATGAGGAAAATCAATACTTTAACTTACGTTCCCCGATTTCTTCCTTTTCATCAAATACAATTGGAGAATGGGTCCTTTTCCTTGGCCTAGCTCTCTTTTCTTTTGCAACATCACTTCTCTTTTCCTCTTCTTCAAACTCTGTACAGATAGCATTATAATCAAATTCAAACACTAAAAACAAGAATAACTAAAACATATTGTTTTTTTGTCCATGAAAAAGCTGTACTAGAATAACTAGAGAGGCAACTTCAATCCATCACACCTACATAAACTTTAAAACTGTACCTTTATTACACTGGTATAAAGTGACAGACATTATGTTTTAAAAAAATCTAACAGCTTTAGCTATTCAGTACATATTTCTGATAGCCAAACTACGACTGAAAAACACAAAGAACAGTGTTTCACACATGTCACCTTCAATGATGACATTAATCAATTGTAATATCTGTATTATAAAAAATATTTTTATTCTTTTATACCATTCTCTTAGAAGTCGTTTTTTTCTCCTCTATACAGGTTATAATCTGTTTACATAAAAAGTTCCTGGTACTTTTAATATTCCTTTTATCATTCACTTTTCTGAGGAAACATCTTTCAGTTATAGATCAATGTTGCATTATACACATTTCACAACTAATTTCACTGGGTGGTGCTACTAACAAAGAAACCAACAGAAGTGAAGAAATAAACCAAACAATTACAGTCTCTGAAAAGAGAATGATCAGTGTAAATAGGACTTGCAGCCATTGAAAAAACAATGATTAGTGTAAATAGGACTTGCAGCCATTGAAAAAACAATGATTAGTGTAAATAGGACTTGCAGCCATTGAAAAAACAATGATTAGTGTAAATAGGACTTGCAGCCATTGAAAAAACAATGATTAGTGTAAATAGGACTTGCAGCCATTGAAAAAACAATGATTAGTGTAAATAGGACTTGCAGCCATTGAAAAAACAATGATTAGTGTAAAACAATAATCAGCTTAATCAAAACCTACAGTCACTGAAAGAACAACTGGCTCAATCAGGTAGTATCTGACAAGTCTCTTTAACACAAATACATTTAAAATTTCTTCAGTAATAACTCACTACAATCTTTGCTTATAAAACAAAAATCTTTACCTTTTATTTACGACTGGCAATAAAACAAGTAACATTGGGAACACTGCTTAGACATATACTTAAAAGACTACAAATAAAAAAATTCATCAGGGAATTTGCTAGCACCCTCTATGTATGGATGACATGTATGCCATATTAAAGCAATACAAAAGTCATCTGGATTTTCTTCTCTACAGGTCATCAGAAGCTAGATACGAAGAGCTACCAGGCATAGCTACTTTAGCTCTGGTGTATATGCCCTTTTCAGCTATTCAGAGCCTCCCAATGTTGAAATCTGGCAAATAGCCAAAACTAAGAATTTTTATTTTTGTTCATCATCATCTTTCTTCAAAAGGATAACACGTACCTAGTTCTAACAGTAACTATAATTTTATCATCATTTGATAGCGCAAAACAGTCTTCACGATCTTTGACTACCAATTTCATTATTATTCTATGCAAAATTTATAAAGCTTTAGAATATACTCTATAACCTAGTGACCCATTTACACCATCTTATAAAAAAGTACACAAACAAATATAAGGTAAAAACTTAGTGCTCAATAAAAAGATATATAGAGCTGGTTACTCAACTTGAAAAAGGTAACCAAAGATAGGAATGGAAGTAGACATATCACTTGATCGGTTAATGATCAAACAGCAGACTAAGCTGTCTTGACTTTACATGGAGAATAAAATCCCTATATTTCTGACTTAATCAATTATTTTATGCGATACTAATTAATGTTCATAGGAAATCAATTTTTACAATTAAATTTATTTAATTACACAGTGCCAGTCGAAAGATCTTTGATAAACTGTAAGATACTGGACAGCTACAATTAAGTAATATTGGAAATACAACAAACCTTTCCTCTCTCAAAACTTCCTAAGCAGTATCTCTTCTAATTCTTAAAACTTTCTTCTGAGATGGTTCAGTAACCAGTTTCAGAATAAGTTTTATTTTCTGTTGGTACTACTTGTCATTTAAAAAAAACACCTTTCAATCAAATACAACAATAACTGAATTCAACTGTAATCATGGCATTACCTTAAAGTCAACAAAACATTAATAGTTGGTTTTGTATATTTTAGTTTTACAAATTACTGTTTGTCTAAACATAGGACTAAGAAGAATTAATAGACATTTTTTTTAAAATGATAATAATAATAACACCAGTATTCTCTTACCTGATCCTGAACCAGATATTATTTTAAAAATTGATAATAATATTAACACCAGTTTTCTCTTACCTGATCCTGAACCAGAATTTGATCCTGATTCTGAGTCAGATGATGACATTGCACTACTGTTCTCATCATCATGATCTTCACAGGAGCAACATTCTGACATGGAATCTTCACTGTCTGAGTTGACGTCATCATTGTTTACATCGGCAGACTGCTCTCTATCCTTCATTTCTTCATTCAGTTCATCAGAGTTAACAGTCACATTCAGATTGTCAATATCTGTATCAATTTCTGGCTCTTCTTGTTTGGGAATGACTTTTTTCTCCACAACAGCTTGTGTCTTCATTTTAACAGACAGTGCTAGAGTAATAAAACCACTGGATAAAAATGTGAAGCTCATTAACTAAACTTATTACAGTTTAGATTAAAATGTTACTCACTACAAAGTACACTTCTATTCTGTAACTTCATAAACTACAATAGTAGTTATAGTTCACTCACACACTTGTTTTACAAGTAGATTATAAATTTTTTACTTTATGTGTTTGGCAACTTGAGGACTAATTCTGGTTTATTCACATGGTTGTTCTACAAGTAGACTTATAAATAATTTACTTTATGTTTTGTAACTACAGGACTAATTCTGGTTTATTCACATGGTTGTTCTACAAGTAGACTTATAAATAATTTACTTTATGTTTTGTAACTACAGGACTAATTCTGGTTTATTCACATGCTTGTTCTACAAGTAGACTTATAAATAATTTACTTTATGTCTTGTAACTACAGGACTAATCTGGTTTATTCACATGCTTGTTCTACAAATAGATTATCAATATTTTACTTTATGTCTTCTAACTATAGGACTAATTCTGGTTTATTCACATGTTTGTTCTACAAATAGATTATCAATATTTTACTTTATGTCTTCTAACTATAGGACTAATTCTGGTTTATTCACACGTTTGTTCTACAAATAGATTATCAATATTTTACTTTATGTCTTCTAACTATAGGACTAATTCTGGTTTATTCACATGCTTGTTCTACTAGTATTTTATCAATATTTTACTTGACATGTTTTGCAACTATAGGACTAATTCTGGTTTATTCACATGCTCGTTCTACAAGTAAACTTATTAATATTTTACTTTACGTGTTTTGCAACTATAGGACTAACTCTGGTTTACTCACATGCTCATTCTACAAGTAGACTTATCAATATTTTACTTTGTGTTTGATATTTTTTGAGTAAATTTTTAAGTACGAAGAATTAAAACGATGTTTCTTATGCCACATCCATGCTTGGAAGGAGCTACCACCTCTTCATCCCTAAAAACTTAGGGACACAACAATCAAAATTGTTGACCATAATCATACATGGAAGGTTTTAAAATATTTTATTATAATTCTTGCATAGCACTTGCAGTCTAAAGATAACAAATATGTATACATTCTGACCTCTAAAAGACCACAAGATTAAAACAAATTAAAAGTATGCTTACATAATTTTGTTTCATAAGCATTGTGTTACTATATTAAGAGTACAAAACAAAACTTTTTTTTAATCACAAAGATAGATAAAATCTATATTAGATACTCCGGCCTACTAGTTTCTATAACACAGTTACCATCATCAGGGCTAGTGACTAAAGTGTTATTAAAACTAGTCAGCTGAAATATCTAATAAAGATGTTCTCTTTCACTATGTTAAAATCTATATTAGATACTCCGGCCTACTAGTTTCTATAACACAGTTACCATCATCAGGGCTAGTGACTAAAGTGTTATTAAAACTAGTCAGCTGAAATATCTAATAAAGATGTTCTCTTTCACTATGTTAAAATCTATTGTTTTTGTTTTGTACTCTTAATACACTTAAGTTTACTGTACAATGTGGGTTCAAAACACAGCTATGTTCACTCGTTAATCAAGCTACTTCGGAACTTATTTTGGCAGACGAGTATTTCTAAGTAGCAACAATAACTCATTTTTTTTGTACACATAATCTAAAGAAGAAAGGAAATTTCTGCCAGTTTCATCTGATATTTTCCTAACAAGGCTTTCTTTTGATCATATAATTTGTAAAAAAAATTCACAAAGAAATATCTGATCTTCCTTATGTTTGCATGAGTAAATATACCTGCTTGATGAACCACAAACATCTTCATTTCTTTAATTAATTGGTTTATTTGACCAACCCTGAAATTGTGAAACTATACATGTTATATCTACGAATTTACCACGTGTATTTGTATGAAACTTGGCAGTCATTTAGTAAACACTAAACATCTATTGTACAAAAAAAAATGTTTTTTTTTTAATGAAGTGGTTCTATTAAATATTTGTCTGATAATTTTTGAAGTCTTTATCAATTCAGTTCGAATGCAAAGAGATTTTTCATGCTAAAAATAAAAATGCTTCTTTTCATGTTACAGTTTTCATATTTCACTTACATAACCTTCAGAATCTCCTAAATGAATATTCACAGTTTTTCAGTAAAACTTTATACTTTTACTTTCTCTACCCTAACACTAACTGTTATGAAATCATCAATGTAAAGTGAAAACAAAAGTTGAAAAATATGAAATAAAATGAATAATACCATTTCTTCTCTGTACTGACTATAGTATTGATCAGAAATATCCAAGTTAGATATCTTAACAGTTTCAACTGTTAACCTTTTTTCACGTCTTTTTTCTTTTAATATTATGGTTCTATTGCTTTACTTTGTACCACTAGAGCAAGAACCATGCGTCAAAAGCAATAAATCACAGCAGGATCCCATTAGCTGTTTCCTGTGAAGCTAACATAAACAGCATGTGATTGGATACCACATTTCACACCAGTGCTTGAGCTAGTATAGTTTTTGATGTTTTATTTTACTGAAGTTTTATTAGGTTAAGCTGAGAAATTTAAAATTTTTACATTTTAGGTTGTTAAAAAATATATAACAATAAATAAGTATTACAGTGCATACTCAAGCCTTTTGTACCTGAGTAAAGATATCTGACATTCCACTAAGTCTTGTTGAGTCTCACAAATCTGGGTGTCCCACCCAAAAAACATAACTCAAGTACTTTTTAAACATGCATTTATAACAAAAATATATTAGATACTACAATAAAATTTCCCAAAACTACTATAATTTATTCAGCTTTCTAATAAGTTATCAATAGGTTTAACAATTTCCATTACTGTTCAGAGCACCAAATCCAATCAACACAAGCCAAGAAATTCTCATTGACTGAAGAGTAAAGGCAGGAAAAATTTATAATTTACATAAGAGGATAATCTGCTCTTTCTATTGGTTACAAACATCAGCCGTATAAAGTTTTACCAAATACCCGAACAGAACTTATAATTTTCCAATACCGAAAATGTATTTCTGATAGGCACTTACCTTCTCTCACATAAATAGCTATTCTCGTTCATTGCTGTCATCTGTATGCATTTTTTTTAATGCATGCCACAAGCCTTCTATCTCCCTTCCATTGGAATTGACTTATTCCAATGTGTTTCTCATGCAAATCATCATGTGTCAACCCTCCACCAATAAGAGTGCAACATACTCTCATGATGCATGCAAATCCCTATATTCAATTCTACTGTACTGTAGCTTCGAGTTTTGGCAGAAAATGGAAGCACCAGTTTTTAGTGGAGAGGAAAGGTGATAAGAGGTAAGTACCTATCGGAAATACATTTTCAGTGTATGAAAGTTATAACTTCCAATACGGTACATTACCTCTTCTCACATAAATAGCTAAAATCCCACATTGAATAGGTGGAGGGACAGGTGAGAGGGAATGAAAGAAGCATCCTTCGAAAACATCCTAAGGACACTCCCTAAGATGAGACAGTCTGATTCTAAGATCTGATATGGGGAACTGCACCACATCTGAACCAGGTACACTCTTCACCCATCTTGTACTGTGAGTGAAAATGACAATATTCTGTTCAGAATACAACATTATACAATACATCATTTGATAGATG